GGTGGTAGTAGTAGTCGTCGTCGTCGTCGGCATCGTCGTAGTCGCAGTGGCAGGGCGGTAGTAGTAGTGGTAGTAGCAGTAGCAGTAGCAGTAGCAGTAGCAGTAGCAGTAGCAGTAGCAGTAGCAGTAGCCGTCGTAGCACTAGTAGTCGTACTACTACTACTACTACTACTACTAGTAGTAGTAGTAGTAGTAGTAGTAGTAGTAGTAGTAGGTAGTAGGTATAGGAGGTAGTAGTAGTAGTAGTAGTAGTAGTAGTAGTAGGAGTAGTAGTAGTAGTAGTAGTAGTAGTAGTAATAGTAGTACTCGTGGTGGTGGTGGTGGTGGTGGTGGTAGTAGTAGTAGTAGTAGTAGCTGCAGCCGCAGCAGTAGCAGTTAGCGTTAGCTTCAGCATTAGCGTTAGTGTTACATTGCGTAGCGCCAGCACTAGCAGCAGCAGTAACAGCATCACTAGCAGGAGCAGGAGAAGAGCAGTAGCAGTGCAGCAATAGTAATAGCAGCAGCAGCAGCAGGCACAGCGGGAGTAGTAGCAGTAGGGTCGGTGATTGAGTTCGTCAAAATCAGCACCCGACAGGCAGCAGGTTGAAGCCAGCACATGCCCCACGACCGCCAGTTGCACGCTCGCCACGCGAAAACTGCTTGATTTTGTGGTGCGCGCTATCACATCGGGTTAACGTGCAACCAGAGGGAAGCAAGGATTTGTTCGTGTTAGGAATTGATGTTAGAGTTTCTGTCAATGTTGGTATTTTGGAAGTGGCAATCGCAAACTCCGAAAAGGATAGACTGGTTGCACAAATCTAAGAAATTGACTGGTGGAAAAACCAACTCGCAATTTTGAGATGGGCAACAAGCGCGAAGGTCGAAGAAAGACTCGTTGTAAACACTTAACACCCCGAGACCTCAACATGAGATGCTGGGTGGCACACCCCAAATTCCTAAAACGACTGGTTGTGAAACGCCGAAAACCTTACGGCGAGATATGGGGGTGGCAACCCGAAAAGGGCGTGATTTGCTTTCAGAAACCCCAGCCCCAAAGGGACTGATGGGAGATTATGGGCATTAGGGGTAGGCTCTGGAGCGCAAGATGTGCTGGCCACAGTGTAGGGTTGGGGTTTGAAGGAGTCGTGGTTTTGGCGGAAAGGGTCCGAAGATAAGGCAAAAGTGGTTCGACTGCGGCGCAACATGCATTCCAAAGGAAGAAGCAGGGTGGTAGTGATGACTTGTACTTGTTAGGTGGAGGCAGAGGACCGCAGTGCCGTGCATCGGCAGAACAAATGCACGTCCATAAATCAGGCTAATTGCCTAACTGAGGCTACCGTTCTTGCGGGTTCGGCATGGCCTAGCATAGTTCTTGAAGTCTGCTGACTTGACCGGCAAACCCACGGCGAATAATCAGCATCCATTAAAGGTGTGCAAGGCGACTAGGTACTGTACGTTGGAACTGCGCTTTGGGAGAAAGAAATCCAGATCTGACGCTGCTGGAAGTATCTTGGTTCGAGCTGCGCTGCCAGTTACCAGGAATGGACTGAGCTCCAAGACGAGTTCGTGGCTGCGTTGCACCAGCTCTTCAATTGGCTGTGCACCCGGAAGAGTCCACACAAAGCTCACAGTAGGAACGAATTGATGTCACGACACTTGACTCTTGAACTTGGTCACCATAGATAGGGCGGCTTTAGACGGGCAGCTCGCAGCTGTTTACTTTCGCTGGTACTAGTTTGAGCCCCGTTGCGATTCAAGCTATCGCATTCGCGAAGAAGTCTTCCTTGGAGGGTCTTGTCGCCCGGGGCCGCAGGATCCCAGCCCCGAGGCCCAGCAACCACCTGCCCGGTAAAACACCAAAACACATCGAAACCTACACACCCTAAGAGCCCTAAAGAAGTGAATATCTCAAATCCTGAATGTCCTCTGCTCCGAGGCACCGATGCCACCTCTCCGATTTCCGCAGCGGCCTCTACGGCGTGCGGGCACTCAACTGTCTGCTCCGGCTAGCATGACCATCGAGTGTGATTGCATTTCTGTTGTGCATTTTGTGACTTTCGTGTCAGTCTTTCTTCTTTGCAACTTCCTGTCGAACAAAACCATCATTATGAGCACTGCTGCCCCCCATTCGTCCCTTATTGTCATGACTTGTACTGCTGTCATTGATGTCATTATTCGTTGCTAGTGCTACCCACTGCAAAGGTTGAAACTTGCTTAGGTTTATACTGAACATCGCTTCAGATTTAAGATTCAGATGGAATGGAGGTCTACCGACTTCCGACTCTGAGTCTCGGAATTGTTTACAGCCCCAACAGCGCATCTTTGAGGACGGTCACGTGTCCGTCTGATTGCAATTCGGATCTCTAATCACTTCATCTTAGCCTTCGGTTGACTTACCACAAAGGGATCCGCTTTTGCAGGACAGGTCGACATGTCAATTGCGGACTTGCGATTTACATGCCCTACACCCCACACCGTAGAACCTAAACCAGACGATGCCCAGATGAAGCAGCGCTTCGCGGAGTACTTGCAGCGTGTGGACGGAAAGCAGTCGCTTGTGGACGATTTCGCCCGAAATCCCGGCGCTGAATGACGAGAGTTTGGGCTTGGTGCTTGTAGGAATGAGGCCTGTTGTGACCCTCTCTACCAGTATGTCCATGTCGAGAGAAACATCAAACTCCGCACTTCTCTGCTCGGTACAGAGAAATCAGAGGTCCTGAGCTTCAACCTCTTCACAGAGGAGTATCCAGACATGCGCAAGCAGGACCTCCTCGGTTGACTGGGTGCCTTTTCTTCTGACGCACAGCACCTGCTTCGGAGCATCGCAAGGTGATGATGACCATGCATGCAGATTTGGAAATCCATCGCTCTGCAGGATGCCACGAAGGCAGAGTTCCATTTGCGAGCGGACGAGCTGCACACTAGGCTGGTGGCAGAGGCGAGAGGGGAAAGTTGACCTGCGGTCCGTCAAGGGTCCGTCAAGGGGCGGGCGGTCTGGAGTGTGGAAAGTTGGATTGATAAAGCTGAACATGCCACTCCAGGAAAACACCCCACCGCATCATAATGGTGATCGATAGACACAAGACATGAAATCAACCACAAAATGAGGTTTGATAACAGCAAACTACTTTCTGCACACTGGAAATTCCACGTGCAGAAAGCCATCAGCAGAAACACAACTGCTGTCTTGTCCTGAAGCTGTTCAGCTAGCACCATCGATGCAAAAGACGGTAGTTCTTTTCAAACGAGGGGAATTCGAAAAATCCTGCGCTGGCATAGTATGTATGTGAATGTGAACCGAGCAAACACGTATGAGGTGCTGCTGAGGAAAGCACATTAATAAATGAAGAAGTACAAACAGCACAGCAACGAAATCACACCGCTTTTGGAGTTGGTTCGTGAGCAGCGCATCAAACTAGCTGGCCATAGTCTACGAACTACGAACTAGCGAGGCAAGTCAGATACGCTAACAAGCATGATTTGGGAAAGTTAGGTTCCTCAGGCCAATCCTCCGGCTCAACATGTATCTGAACGACACCACGATTTCGAGCAAGCAAGAGACCGCAAGTTTTCAGCCGCCACTTCTGCCCGCGGCCTTATTGTTATTGCCAAAGAAGGCAGACCATCGACAAGGGGTCGGGAACGCAGGGTGGTTGCTTTTCTGGACATGCGGCCCACCTTGCAAGAACATGATCGTGCGTTCAGTCAGCATTGTTGTGACCGATGCTTCCTCTGTCAAGTCGCTGACTGACATTTCAGTGTCAGATGCTGGGGCTTCGGTTTAACGACTTGGCGGAGTGCCGCACAGAGCGCCCAAGCATCGCATCAAGCACAGCCCAGCAACGGACACGACGAGGTTTGACATGCACGGAAGAAGGCTTTGTGTCACTGTGACCAAACGATTTGCCTAAACTTGACCCAAAACTCGACAACTCAGTACACTCGTGGGCCCTTATGCGCTTAGCAGGTCGTCAAGCAAGCCCAGTCAGACTCTCCTCAGATCCCGAACAGATCCTGGATTGTAGGGTGTTCGTTCCGGCAGTTTGCATTGCTCCAAACAGGACTTTTCAATCCACCTAGCAGCTGCTGTTCTGCGAACGTGGATGCACAAGCGGCCTGCTCCAGGTGGAAAACCAGCGAACAGCAAATCTAGAGCAGCTGGAGGCGCCAACTGTGCGGGTTGGGGTTGTTCCCCCAATCATCCTAGATAATGTCAGTATTGGAAATGTCAACCTTATCATCAGATGGCCAAGTGTTTCTACGGGCTCGTGTTTCTGCAGAACCCGGCGTCGTTCAACATCTACGTTTCAGCCTTTTATGTGTTGTATATATATGTGTATGTGTGTGTGTGTGTCGAAGCTAGCCCGTGTGATTAAATTTCACCTTGCACCTTGCAGCAGTACATGCTCCGACACACCGACAGACCGACACACACACACACACACACACAACTGCACGCACACGTTTTGTGTGTTTGTGTATATATATATATATACATACGTGCCTCTATATACACAACAAAGATAAATAAATAATTATATATATATAGAAATTATATACCATATATAGATATCAAATATATAACATATACAGATAGCATATCTTTATACATAGGTTGTTATAGAAACATAGATATACAGATAGAGAGAGGTAGATGTGTGCATATTAGCATAGGGACTTCTTCATTCGTGGGAGGGTTGATGTAGGCGAAAAAATGCAAACCTCAAAGTTGACAACTGGCACGGTACTGCACTAAAGTTGCTGAAAGTACGATACTAGCATAACAAAGTCTTGCAAGGCCAGGCAGGTGTTTGCATGTTCATCCTTGGTGCGGATGCTTCTGTGCGAAATATCAGCTGGTTGGTATTGTCACGTCAAGCAGAACCACGCTTGAGATGCTGGGGTTGTTGGTTTGCTCTCGCGTGACGGGGAATGGCCACAGAGGTTCAAGTCACTAGAAGTTCTACATGCCTTTGCGCCACCGAATCTGCTGACAGGGGTGAAGTCCAGTCAGGGAGCTTGGAACCTTTGAGGGCTTGTCGGTTTAAGATTTAGGGTTTAGATTGAGGATAAGTGCGCAAAGTGCACAAGGCTCCGGACTCAGGCTTCATGGAAGGGTTGGAGCGTATTGGGTGATGAAAAAACCTCTACGGACCCTTTATTGAAACAGCAATGTCTGATCGTCCAGCAGCCTTGATTTGGAGCGGGCTCTTTCAGAGAAGGACTGACAATAGTTGTGTCTCTCTTTTCCTTTACCCCCCCAACTCGTCAAACACCCCAAGCTCTTGAAGTCCTCCCCCGAACCATGGGATAGATCCAACACCTCACTCCTCAGAACCTAAGCCCCTGCGTAAAGGTGCTGCAGACGAGTCGATGGCTGGAGTCGCAGACGGAAGTCCTGGCCTCCCAGGCTTTTGGGGCCTGAGCTGTTGAAACTTAGCGAGGTTTGGGGCCAAACGCTTGAAGGTGTTTAGAGCTTTGGGGGTCTAGGTGCTCAGGGGTTTGGGATTTGAGCAGAGACGAATCAGGTGGCAGCTGCTCAAGCCTTCGACAGAACGCTCCCTGTAGCCGCAGTTCCGGTGTCCGTCCGCTTGGACCACACGCTCCTATGTTCCGGATGCGCCACTAGTTTGAGCACATGGTTGAGAATCGCTAGATTAGTCATGTCGTGTTCCAGCTGTACGTAGATTGATCAACCCCAACGCAACCTCAATAATTCTGCAAACTTGCATGGGCCGAAGCCATGGGCGTCTTCCGCACGATTGACGCACACTGCGGCCTTCCGGACATTCAGCTGCTCTTCACAAGCGATCGGAGACACCCGACTCAACCATGTTTACGACGGTCACTTGTAGATATGAAGATGTAGGGTCACAGACCGTCAGGCACTTCAATGGAGACTTGTTGTCCAGGAATGACTGCAGGCCAGGTAGCAGGCTTGAACCTTTGGCAATGTGAGTTCTCGGAAGCTAAGAAGAGATCGAAGACTTCCTCCTCGGATGGGATGGTCGCTACCACTTCGGCTTGGACATGGAGCTGTGGCAATTCGGTCGGTGTTTGTCGGTTCGTTCATGATTGCTGGTGACGTGGGCTGTGGGGCTGCAGGTGCATGGTTGTGATTGCCCTCAGCGCATCGAAGCCCCAGTTCCACCTGTTTGAGCCCACACGGAAGTAGACTGAGCCCGCATCACGTGGCACTTTAGTCCAGGAGTGGCGGCCCAACTTTGTGAAGGGTGCGCCGCCAAGTCGATCTGCAACTTGGCATCAGAGGTTTGGGACTTACGGGGCCGGCACGGATGAGTGGGGGCTCTTGCTTTTTCGGAACCTGCACTCCCAGAACATATCTCTGCAGGAAGTTGTGTCCCGAATTTGTTTGCAAGCTTCGGACTTCGGTGTCCACGCTGAAGGATGCAAGGGTTTGAGGTTGGCTGGCCTTGACTTTTCAGGATGTTGAGGCGCCTTGTAAAGAGTCTTTCGCAACCAGGCCGTCCTCACAATCTGCAGCGGTCCCTGGGTCCCAGCCTCGGCATCCGAAGAAATGCTTGTAACATGATGATTTTGGACGTCCTTGTCGCGCTCATCGTCATGGTCGTTGTAGTGCTCTTTCAATTTGGTGCTGCAGCAAAAGCAGCAGCAGCCGCTACTGGTAGACATCGCACCAAGCAGAATGCTATTCTTTGATCCAGATGATGGCCACGCACGCGGCCGGTCGCAGCGACGACTCGACTGCAACTGCGATCGCAACCACGACCATGACCAAATGCAAGCAGCAACTGAGATGACGGCAGTGGCGACAGCGACGACGGAAGCAATGGAACAAGATGGCGACGGCAACGACGACGACAATGCTAGCCACTGCGAGTACGGTGACAAGAACGGTGATGATGATAGTGGTCGTGATGACGGTCATGGCCAAGATCGTGGTCAGGATCAGGGTCATGGTCAGGTTGATGCTGATGCTGGCAGTGATGAGGTTGGTGGTGATGATGATGGTGGTGATGATGATGTGACGATGCAGCTGCTGATGTTGGTCAAAATGATCTTTTTGGAGGTTAAGAGAATAATTCGAACGATGATGAGGTTGGTGATGATGCTCACGATGGAATGGCTGGCGGCCAAGATGGTGGCGACGATGGTCACCATGAGCATGGGGATGTCGACGACCAAGAGGATACTGAATCAGAAGAAGACGCGGATATACGCAAATGCCTATGATGGCTATGATATTGCCACAGGCGGCTTCGTCATCATGATCATCATCATCATCAACAACATCGTCAATATCTTCACAGCCATCGCCTTCAATTCGTCTGATTATGTCTGTTCATCCTTGTTCTTGTCCTCGTCTTCAACATCGCCACCGCCACCGGCAGCAGCGGCGGCGGCAGCAACAAGCATCATCATCATCAGTAGCAGGAGCAGCAGCATCATGACAGTCGATGTCGTAATGACCAGCATGATGGCTAGATAGGGTTACAGAGTTTCAAAATTGAAGGTTATGCTTTGGCTGACAGGGTTTGGGGATATTTCGTCATCGCTGCCACCACGCGAATCGCTGTGGCGGGTGCCCTTCACCTGCTTCGTATGCCAAGCTGGACTCTTAAGTAATTTCATGCCTGCCAAACCAACATTAGAAGACTGCAAGAGGTGTTAGCAGTGGATCTTGTGGCCTTCCGCAAGAGCTGGCCGCAGCCGCTCTTCGATGGCCTCTGGCCGCCCGGACAAGTTTGGGTCTGGACTGGGGAGTTTCGGGGAAGTTGCACAAGTTCCAAGATGTGTTTCTGGAGTTTCCAAAGTCCAGGAGATTCCTCGAGAACGATGAGCACACCTTCTATGGGATGGGTCTCGCTTCCTGGCGGCTTTGCTCTTAAAGTGCAGGCGTGTGGTTGGATCCACACATGCTATGTGCAGCGCACCACGCACAAAGACATGGCGTCTCTCAGTTTACCGAGTAAGGCTGCCGATGCGGCGCGACTGGCAATCGAGTTTGACTGTGTGGCCGCTTCATGGACTATGGCCTGCGTTATGGGTCTTGGGATAAGCCACTCCAACATCTAACAGAGTGTCGCTGTCGAAGCCGGACTTCTTCATGCCGGCATCGACAACCGCGTGTGGCGCCCTCACTTGCAACGTCTTGCTCAGGTCCAGGGCATCGATTTCTTGTCCGCATGGCCGGAGCAGATTGTCCTCAAAGGACACCACAGCTGTTTGCATGCCTGCTGCCAGGTGTCAGCAGTTTTGCAACAGAAATATCAGCAACGACCGTCACTACCAAGACCACGAGCAGCATCAAAAGGACAACATCATCAACAGATATCAACACCAACATCGGCAACGAAGCATGTGCAACACCGGCACCGCCAACAAGAAGAGCCGCAGCAGCCTAGCAACAGCGTCACGGTCCGCAGCGTGCCCGTTGCATCAGGAGGGCTGGAGGGCCTCGGGAACTCCCTCCTTGGGACGTCCGTGAAGCAAAGTAAGGCCGGAATCGCTTGCAAGTTTTGAGCTCAGGTTGAAGGTTCCAGCACGGTTAGGCTCTAGGCTCTCATCTCGCAGAAGAGAGGTTTGACGGTAAGGCCTGGAGCCAGTACCAGGTTTTGCGCGGAAGTCAGTAAGCAGATCGCCATTATTGTGGTGGCAGCCGAGCCAACACCGAGCGCACTCGAGCAGATCCCTAAACTCCAAGCCCGTCCACTCGCAATGTGTCCTTCTCAGATCTTACAAGGCCATCACTCGCTCGAACTGGGACAAGAGGCCGCTGTCCGACCAGCCGCCTGGGCAGTGATGCATCGCTAGGTTCACTGTTGATACGATGTTATTGTTGATGGTGCTCAGTGTTACTACTTGTGTTTGTTGTACTATTCATCCTATCGCTGTCTCGCTTTGTGACGAAATCGTGGTGGTGGTGGTGGTCGTGGCAGCGGCAGTGGGGGCGGTGGCGGCGGTTATGGCTGTGCTTCTGTTGTTCGTTCTATGCGAGGATCAAGATGTTCGTGCCTCTGTTAATAGTAGACTTTAGTAGACGTGCTCAGGACAGTCAGTATTGAGCATGTAACGGGAACTCTTGTTCTTGTTTTCCATATCAGTACCCACGGCGGTGCTCGTCACTGCTCGCAGGTGCAATGTCACGGAGCTGAGTGGTTGTCCCCAAGCTTCTCTTACAGTACAGTTCTAGGTTCTAGAAGCTCTAGAGCTCTCCAAGAAGCGTGGAGCTCTCGAATGGAAGCTGGAAGTGATGGAAGGTCAATTTTGTTAACTGAAAGTGCTTTGAGTCGGGGCCAAACTCTCATCTCAGGCAGCTGATGTACTTGGCTGAGGATGCGCACCTCGGCCTGCAAGGCCTTGGCTATCCAAGCAAGTTTGAGCTGGGCCTCTCTGGCATAGGGTGGAAAAGTGCTTTGAACGATGGCCCAGTGCCCCAGACTCACGAGCTGTGTCTCAGATGCGATGCTTGCAGCCCGCGTAGTTCTGGGGTGCTATCACGATGGTAGAAACACCCTGTCAAAATACAACTCCCCATCTTTTTCGCCGGCAGCGGCTCTGGGTGCAGCGTTCTGTGCTAAGGTATCTGTCTTGGAAGATCATGAGGCACCTAGCATCCCTGGTGCCTGCATCGGAGGCGACCTGCATTTTCACACAAACGGGATTTACGCATGTTCAGAACAGTGGTTCGAGCTGCGAGCGCACCTGGTTCAAGCGCAGGCGGATTTTGTGTGACTGTCAAGGATTTTGGAATTTGGGGACTCAGGTATCGCCAGTAAGGAGGGCTGAGTGTTTTTTCGGGTTTGGGGTTATACAAATTAAGTTTAAAGTTTGGGGATGTTAAGAGTTGAGACTTGGGAGCTTTCGGGCTGTGGGGTTGGCGTTTCGGTATCTCAAGAGAATGTCTACTTGTTCAAAATACTGTAGCTGAAATATCTTGGAGCCACTGGTTCCCGTTTGAGGGTGCAACACAACGGCTGCGACCGTATGGGGGCCATGATTGCTTTATGAGAAGTTTGGTGAAAGCGTGTCTACGATGATGTTACTGCGCAAGTGAAGGGAGTTGTACAGCCTCACAGGCTTCTGTTTTGTTTTTCTACTTCGCGGCATCATTATTGGACATCCTCATCCGGTGCCCAGGCTATTCCCATACATGTCGTAGTTCCGTCCAGCAGGACTACTAAGCGCGTGTGCGTGCACCGACAATCCGCGTGGCCAGTGGGTGAATCCCTGGTGACTCCGAGAATCGCCGCCTTTGGGGCTTCTGGTGAATCGTCCGTGTCGGAATCTACCCCACTGCGCGAATCGGTCCTTACTCGGCCTGGCCAAAATTGAGTTCAAGCATTCTCCGGATGCTCCTTGCTTTGCGAATCGCAGCAACAGAAGCTTCCACATGTGTGCGACCGGAGGTTTAGAAGTTCATCAAGTTTTGGACACAGGAGTGGCTTGTCACGATGACGGACATGTACTCGCACGGCCAGGAGCTCATGTCATGCCTTGCTTCTTTGTTCCTGAGGTTGCGATGCTGCCTGCGGTGTTCCCTGCCCGACCAGTTTCGTGGTAAAGACGGCAAGTCAAGACACTGCAAAAAACGCGCATGCATCGCCAATAACTCCAGCCGTGGAGGAGTTCATCCGCCACGGTGTGTACATCGAGGACGCCTGCCACGATTGGACTCAAGCAATGCATGAGCCTCCGTCTGAGTTGTTGGAAGCCCTACTGCATTGCTTCAGGGCTTCTGGCTTTGCTGCTGCCTTCAACGTTATGGCGAAAGTCGGTCAACCTTCGCAACACCTTGTCTTGTGACTCGAAATAGCAACATTGCTTAGGTGGCAGCAACGACAGGAGGAGAAGCCACTCGCCTTAGCAGCATTAACAAGCAGCTTGACGGTAGGGGTAAATTAAGCAGGCTCCGACAGGTTCGCATCATTGGTTCTTCAGGTTTGAGGAGTTGGTGACAAAAGCTGTGGTGATATCCACAAGGCAGCCGAGACAATGCTCTGAAGCGTTTACTCCAGAGGTTATTTCCAGGATGTTGATTGGGGCCGAACGATGCGACCGTGTTTTGAGTGAGATTCGGAGGACAACAAACCGAGGTCTCGATGAGCTTTCACCCTAAGCCGACAATTGCAAGCAAACCCATCTGCACCCCGGCACTTCCGAAGCCACCAATGACCGCATCTTCGCATCCCAGGAAGCAGAAGGAGAACTCCAAGAAGAGTGATCTGAAAAAGCGGAAACGGCTGAGACACAGCCCGGCGTAACGCCTAGGGCTTTGGGGGAACGGCTGGGACCAACACGGCGTCCGAGCCTTCTTGCCAAGATCTTGGGTTGCTTCGAGTGTTACTTAAGCCCCCAACCGTATGTCAACTCAGCACAGCATGCAGGCCCCGCGCTCCACCCACGCCAGGCCACAACCCCATGTGGGGGTTGTTCTAAATTCGGGCTCCGTCAAGGCATCCTAGCCATTGAATTTCCCGAAGCTTGGAACAGCACCTATGTGGTCCCGATGCTTCGCACGGGCCATCTCTGCACATCGAGCATCCTCGTGCGAAGTCGTGGGCAAAATGAAGCAGTGGGTCTGAGTTTATGGTCCTGCGGGCGCAGCCCAGTGACCTCTTCGATGCTGACGACAGATATCGGACAGCTATCGCGACTGCAGCCGTTCCACAATAGCCCTCGCAGATAGTTTACTATGCAGAACGCACCTTAGAGCCGCATTCTGGTCGTTTGGCCCTGGCAGAAACCCCGAAATCAACTCTTAGCGGAACTCTGGCCCGCTCTCTAAGATTCAGACCAACACTATCATCGCGCGCAGGTCCAGCATGCCGTCCAGCTGGAGGTCAAGCCCGGTGCTCGACTGCGTGCTGGCTAGCAGCAGCAGCACTGGTAGTCTGGCAGTGGTAGTGGTAGTCGTAGTCGTAGTCGTCGTAGTCGTCGTATT